AAAAAACTGTTAAAAAGAGCAGTATTGGGTTGTCGGCCAGTTAAATAATAATTTTAAAAAATAACAAATTATAAACAATAGTTAATAAATAATAAAGAAAGTATTTTATATGAAAATTTTTGAAAGGAAGTAAATTAAAAACCACCATTTTGTACAACCATGACAAGGACCTATTAATGTTCTATAAATAGAACACAATTTAATGATGAAATAATTTAAATATATTAAATATAATATTAAATAATTAAATCATTTATACAAAAAGTTATTATAACAATTTTTAATTAATATTTATTTATTTATTGTTTATGTTTATTACATAGACTTAATTTATATTAATTAATTATTTGAATAACAATAAATTATAAATATTAATTAATTAATTAATTAATTAATTAATAATACTAATTAAATAATTTTTATATGAAAAAATTTTGAAAGGAATGTAAAAAGAACTTTATTTTGTACAGCCATGACAAGGACCCCCAGGTGTTCTATAAATAGAATTAATTAATAAGATAATTTATTAAAAATGACAATTCAAGCAATCAAATATTTCCAATAAAAAGTTAAGGAGTTGCTTTTTGCAAGGAAATATTCACCTTTTAAAGAGTTCTACAACAAAGCTAATTTGACTGTTGTTATGTTGTAAATGCTTCAAAACTCGAGATAGTTTTATATTTGATTAATGAGTGTACAAATAAGATATAAAATTATACTGAAAAATCCATTAAAGAACAAATTGGTGAACTCAAAGTGTTTTTGATATGGCAGAAGCTCTTGAAAATACTCAACCAAAGCTCAAAAAACAAAAAGTTAATGTTTGATCAAGTACAATTGATTGTGTTGGATCATTTCGTTGGCAAATTGATTGATAATGATGTTTCCAATATTTCCTTTATGTAAACTGTTTTTCAAAACTCTGTACTGGGATGCCCCGATTTTTTAGACAAATAATTTCTAAATAATTTTTCCTTTGCTTAACCCTCATTTTTTGTTATAAATATTTACTCGTAAAAAACAAAATAACGAACCTGAATTTTTTAAATTTTACTTGACAAATAAATCTTGCACCAAAAATTTACTTGAAAAATATAAAAAACAAACTTCGGATTAAAATTTTGATTACCATAACACAAATTTTGCCAAAAAACAAAAACACAACTTTATAATTAAAGTTGTGTTTTGGATAAAAATGAAAAGTACAAATGAGTAAAACAAGCATTGAGAGAAGATAAATAGGTTAAGACTATACAATTGAAAAGTTTTTTATTTTGAACTGTTAATTTTATTTTAGACTCTTTTTATTAATAACCTTGATTGTTTAAATGTTTGTTTTATGTTATCGATTACTTTTTTAATTG